CCCTTCCTCTCTCTGAAGTCAATATAAACATTCTTTTTTTTAAAAAAAAAAAAAAAAAATTTTTATTGATTTTTAGAGAGGAAGGGATAGAGAAACAGAAACATCGGTGAGAGAGGAACATCACACATCGGCTGCCTCCTGCGCACCCGCGACCAGGGATCGAGCCTGCAACCCCGGGTGTGCCCTGACCCCAGGGATGGAGCCTTGACCGCCTGATTCTGAGGTCGACGCTCAACCACTGAGCGGCGCCAGACAGGCCCTTGTAAACCTTAACAAGGCTATTCCTTGAAGAGGTCCATGGAATTATTCAAATCTATCCTTTCCATGTTTTTCTTCTACTCATCTCCCTCGTCAAGATGTTATCCAAAAGAGGGAGAGAAATCACAGTGCTTATAATGGTGCCAAAAATAACTGAGCGTTTCATGAGACTATGAACTCCAATGTAATAGTAATTTTTTAAAATCAAGAAGTCAAGTTTGTTTCTGCCGAACTGTTATGTTCCCTGTTACTAGAGGACAGAGACTCTCAAGGTGCAAGAGGTCTTGCATCAGTGGACCCTGGGCATGATGCCAGCCTGCGTTGGCAAAACCAGGAAGGGGTCAGATTTTGATGGTTCCAAGTGTCACCAAGCCTCCCGGCAGAGAGGCCTTTGAATTTCAGAGAAGCAAATGAAGACTGTCCACTGGAAGAGAAATTCAAGGTACAGTGAGATCCGGGAAAGGGAAGTCAACAATTATCATATCATCAGGATACAACAGCACCCCTGGGAAGAGCACACCCGTGCATTGCAGCATCGAAATTTCGAAAGCAAAGCTTATCTCGGACGACTACGGGGAAAACCCTCACCGCCCACTGAGCTCCGGCAGCTGAAGGCACTTGCTCGGTGTCTCTGCCCTGCCTGGGTAACAGAGCTCCCCAAAGCACTTAAAGGAACCTTGGGCCCCCCTTGCCTTTGTGACCACTGGTGGCTCCTTTCCAGATTCTCCACCTGCTTAGAACGACGACAAGTGAAACACCCACCTGATGACACCACTCTACCCTCAGCAAAAGAAAAAGGCTGGAGAATTACACAGAAGTCCTCAGAAGTGACAGCAACCTCTACGGGAATTCACAACAGCTGATATCCAATGTTTCCCCCAGGAAACTTGGCAACGGGGCCCAGAGGCCCCCAACCACCAAGCCTTGGGAGGAGTTTCTGTCTCTCACCCACCCGTGACCCTATCCTGTTTTGTTTTTTAACATTCAAAAACAGGAACTTTAGGTCTCAGAACTTACCCCGACACCAGACACCCCCCCTTAAAAAAAGAATGATGGCTGTTGTTATGGAATCACTGAAAATGAGAAACAGACTAACCGTCCCTTCCTAACCCTCAACATAAACTGTGCGCACATGGAAGAGAAAACCACCGTGAAGTGCTATTGAAAACACCTCTCTGACCTCCCAGAGAACCTGAACATGTGCTGTCTGCAGGGCAGGGGCATCTTCAAGGTGCCAGGTGCCTGGATGGGCAAGTCTCCAGTCAACAGAGGCAGCCCTGCTGAGACATCTGTCAGAAATGGAATTCTAGATGCGTGCCTTCAGACAATGACGGGCTTTCCTTCAGTGCAACCAGGGGGAAAGGAAGATTCATCATTTCTTATCCCAGAGGGCAGACTTCAGCAGTGCCATGTGCCTTAATAAAAAGCCCAACCTGTCAAACAGCCAGAGTTGAACAATGGCACAGGGCGAAGGGGCAAAGGAGAAAGAAGTGCCATCTCACAACACAGGGCTTGAAACAAAAGCCACCCTGGCCGGTGGGAGGCAAAGGTCCCCCGATCCTGACGGCCCCGCCTCCCCTAGAGCCACAGGGGCTGGAAGTGCTCACAGGGCAAGGCACCCGACTCAACTAGAGCTGGTGGGAAAGCCGAGGCAGCCTTATTCCAGGAGGGACCTTTTGAGGCGACTTGTTTGGCATGATACCAGCTCAGGTGCTGGGAAGAAAAACCTGCTCTTACTGTGCACCGGGCCCCAGGGAGTCAGTGGCTGTCCGTGAACTGCCAGTGGCAATGAGGAGAAAGGAGAACCGAGCGCCGAGCCAGGATAAGCTCTGCTTATGACTCACTTCACTCCTTGGTTGACTTTGGGGCGTTTCCAGAACATTGTCTGCACTGCAATTCGGCACAGCTCCTAAAAGCCAGACTGCGGTCCAAAAGCAGGTTAAGATGCTGATAACAAAATAGTCCTTTTACCTTTGGCCCTTTGCCCCCGTAACTTCCTTTTAACACCCAATATCTCATGTCTTGATTGAGAAATAACTGCCAACACAAGACCTCTTTTAGCAAGCTCTTAAGCAAAGCAATTGTGATTTTTGACATGTCAGCCAGATAAATCCAAGTAAATGAGAACATTCAGTGGCCAAAGACAGGCTGCCAAGAGCAAAGTATTAGGTTGGCAGAGTTGAAGTTACTTAACATCCAATGCCAACATGAAGTCAGGAATTGCTGGGCATTTGGTAGTTATGCACCAAGGATTATGAGACTGGAGTTGAGGCAAAGGCTCCTCCAATGTGGAAAATCCTCTGCTCCCACTTCCCTTTGAAGCCCGGCCACTCATGCCAAACTATAAACACATCACTTCCTGGAGGACATGCCAGGCCACTTCAACTTGAAACCAAGTCCCGATGGTGTGCATCCAAGCTCCTCAGGACGTCCAGCAAGTCCGCAAGCCGTGCCAGGCTCTCTCCCCAAGCAGAGTAGACACCCAACCTCTGATTCCCCCTGCAGACGAAATGATCGGCAAGCCTTGGACAGGTTCGAATTTTCTTGTCCCCAAACATGGAGAACTTCGATTGATTGGAAACTATGATAAAAACGAGCCTACACCTCCATGGCTTGCACGTGATTGAAAGCCAAGTCCTCCTAAGGAGCGCTGCCCAAGGAGTGCCTACGATCGTTTTCATTCTCAGTATTTCGAGGTGGCAACTTGGCCATAGAGCACAGCGTTTCTCAACAGGGCAGCCTTACACAAGAGTCGCTAATCCCAAACTGTTGGCACCTCTTGCTATTGTCAATAAACTGTCCCTTACACAGTTCCCAACACCCCTCGCGGTGAGGATGGTCCTACGTGAAGCTGAGGGACGCTGGTGGGCACAGAACCTGGGGCAGCCGAGCAATCCTGCAGGGGAGAGAAGATGAAACTCCCCGTTTCCGTCAGTCCTTCCTCCTCGGTCCTATGAACTAAGCCAGTCAAACCATGAACAGCTCGGCCACGACCCCACTCATCTTACAGACTTCAAAAGATCACGTCACCATCAGACTGTCACAGCTGCTATAGAGAATACCTTTTATTGTACAGGTCTCATATACACAACAATTTAATGTGTGGACATTTACAGGCACGGAGTTCAGGTCCAAATCTCCACGCACTGCGCACTCCCGTTTGGGATCAGCCCAACAGGAGTGAGACACAAAGTTATTGCTTTGTGAACAGAGAGCTTCAATTAAATAGAACAGAGCCCCAGGACCCTAATTCCAAATACCCTGTGTACATACGAATAGAACCTAAGGATGTGTTTTAGATGACCCCCATCACCTTTAAAAGTCATTAAAATGGAACCCCATTTCTCAAAAAGTCATTAAGAAGTGCACCCGTATTTACAGACCCGATTAAATTATGCATAAATAAAATCTGTACACGCAACACACTGTTTCTCAAAATAACAGCGCCTCCTCCGGGACCTGGGGGTGACAGGCAGCAAAAAACGCTTCATGCCTACCCTTTTCAAGTTTACTCGAATCACCAAGATGTGAAATAAATATGCAAATAAAGCTTCAGTACCTCAAAGGAACATGTCATTTCAAAGAATCTCCCATTTGAAGAGTTAATTTTCAAAGTTTAAAAAAAAACATAAAATCATCAGCAGGCTTTGTTTCTACACGTTTTATAAAACCCGAAGGCCCCTTGGAACAAGGGGATTTTTTCAGAGTGTCCAATACCACCTATTAATTGGTTGCTAAGTGGACAGAATCTGCCTCCTACTGTATGCAGGATTTGATATCTGAAGATCTAGATAAATACTTTTTTATAAAAGATAAATATTTAGTGGGCACAAAAGCCAGCAATGACCTTAACACTGAAAAGTTATTAATTTGGATCACATCAATTTGACATTTCAACAGCTAAGTGAGTGGTTGTTTTTTTTTTGTTAGCCCAGGGGATGGATTTAAAAGATTCAAAAACTTGTAGCACCACTTTCAGAGACAGAAAGAACGGGTTCAAAATAATAAAAATAAGCTTAACAGGTAAAAAACCAATACTTGTCACCTTCTGATAACTTGTCCAGAGTTAAGGAGACGCTTCAGCGCCAGAGAAATACTAAGGACTCCGAGAGGGCAGGTCAAACTCCGGATCAACAGAGGCCTTTTTAATGGGAACCCAGGTAACAAGCTCAACTTGTCCCCCAGGCAGGAGGAGCTCCCCAATCTGTGCGGGTTAAGAGTGGCTTTGGAGATTCTTTCCCTTCCAGATCTTCGGCCCTTTGCTCCCGCCCGTTTCATTTCCGATGCTTCTCCATCTTCTCCAGGGTCTTGCTGGAATCGGCTGGACTCTGGTCTCCGGGGTTCATGTAGGACTTCTCTATGATGACCAACGCCTCTTTTATGTAGTTCTGCACAGCAGACACGGCGGCGCAGATGGCCTGGCTGCCAAACCCGTGGGTAATCAGGCTGAAGTGGGACAGGCAGTTCTGAATGTTGGCCTCCAAGACCGGGGCGGGCCGGTTGTTCCCGTTGGGTGTTCGGTCTTGGTTGAGAAGGTCTGTGAATTCTTTACACACTTGCCTGGGAAGACAACACACACCCGAGTTCAAATCTAGCTCTTGACAGGTAGAGACGAATTACCTGGAGGGTGACACCTGGGAGGCAATCAGAGCACTTCTGGCCTGAGCCAGGGCAGGCGGCTTTAAACGAATGCTAACGTAATAGCCAGCTGCTGCGCTTAGCACACAATCTTTACTGGGAGTGACAAAACAAATCATCTCTTCTACACATTTTTGTAAGATACGCAAATACAGTCACGAGAGGGAAGTTTAACCCTTTGGAGCTCAACAGCTAACGCAGCTCAAAAACATTCACTGTTGAAGCAATCCATTCGTTCGCTCTACTTACTCTTTGAAGGTGTTTGACTTTGGAAAAGCTCTTGCCGGTTTCACTAGCTCCCCACCCTAACCCATTTATCCAGCACTTCCTTCCCGAGCCCCAGGGGCTGGGGTGGTCCCTGGCCTCCCAGGTGGGAGCAGCAAGTCCCGGGGTGTAGGCGGGGTACTTACTGTGCAGCCAGCAGCACGCTCTTCCTCGCGGCCACCTCATTCCTTCCTCCAAGGTGGGGTCTGACCAAGTATTCGGCCACTGGTTTACTAGGGAACTCGGCTTCACAGACATACGCGAAGTCCCGAGCCAAATGAACTGCCTCCCCTAGGATCACGAAAGGTGTTAGGATGGCCGTGGCACCACGGACACGCTGTCCTGGCCGTCTCGCTAGCCCTGCCTGCCAGCCACTGTGCGTTCTCAGCGAAATCCCAGGCAGGGCCCTGGCCCGAGTGGCTCAGTTGATTGACTGGAGTCATCCCGTACACAGAAAGGCTGCGGGATTGACTCCCGCGCTCGGGGCACACACCCAGGTTGCGGGTTCCATCTCCTGTTGGGGAGCTTGCAGGAAGCAACGGATCAATGTTTCTCTCTCCCTAAATCAATAAGCATGTCCTCGAGTGAGAATTTAAAAAAACACAGACAGAGACAACGCTCAGGCTGGTAAGAAGGTCCCTCTCCCCTATGTACAGAGGGTGAAATCCTACAATGTGAGGAAAACAGACCCTGAAATTTTTTAACTGTGCCTGAACTATGATAACTGGTCCCCTGCCCAACTTGAATAGATCGACCCTGAGACACACCCATGCCTTCTCTTGATAATAAAGATTAGTTATCCTGGTGGAGAAGTAGGAGAATTTAGAGATGAGTATTTCTGACGACAGCAAACTGGTCGCTTCTCTTTAGGAAACTGTCACAAAGTCTTTGATATGGAACTTTCTTTTTAAACTAGGGTGCCCTGATACTGAAGGGAACAAGTCTCTAGAATGTTTCTTTTAAGAAAAGGAGGCAGGAGTGTTTTTCCTGCTGGAAATGTTAAGAGCCCCAACTACCAGCTTGGACTACCCCCACCCTTTGTCCAAGACATTGGGGGAGCGGAGGGAGAGAGAACCAAGAGAGTCATCTCCCTCCAGAGGGGCCTGGTGCTGACTCCACACTGCGAGACTGGAAGAGCTTTTCAGAAACGCAGATGGTGTCGTCCCCCACCCCCCCACTCGCCTCCATGGACTCACTAAATCGGGATCTGAGAACCATTGTTCTGGCACACTTTCTTATTCAAGCACCCCTATGCCAGGCTGGTAAGAAAACCCAGCGGAGACACATTTATGCACCATGCACACAGAACCCACCCACCATTCTCCATGCAGACAGCTGGTCCCCAACAGGCAGTTAACAGGCAGCTCCTTTCTGCTTACCCTGACCTCCAAAGACACTCGTAAAAAGGTGGAGCAAGGCCCTGCCAAGTCTCTTTAGCACTGCGGTAGCACCCATTAGAGCAGGGAAAGAAAGTGTTCAAAAGATTGCCTAACTACCGGGACACCACCCCTCACTGGCTCCCCCAGCCAGAGACTAGCGCTCTGTTTTGGACAAAGTGCCCGGGAGACTGGAGGCTCCAGAATAAGCCTGTCAGTGTCCTGTGCCACTTTCTGGTGCCCATTAAGGGTGCACAGCTTTTTTGTTGTTTTTAATTCCTCCACTTTTTCTCAGCCCCTCACCCCCCTTTCATAAAGACTATATTGCATCTTTGGCTGCTTTCCAGGTTGGGCAGTACAGGCCCATTCAAGAAACTGAAATGTCACCTCCTACGATCTAAGGATTGGGGAGAGGGACTCACCTGTGGGCCCCCATATTTTTTTTCTTTTGATGGGGGAAACAGACACAGGAATTGTGAGTTGGGCCAGTTCCCTTGTGTACAAGGGCTCCTCTTCACTGACCACAATCCCAATATTCCGCAACTACAAAAACCAGAAAGCATACTTGTGTGTCCACCAAGAAGCAGCTAAGCTTTTTAAAGGTGTACCAACTCATCAACTGCATCTTCAAAAACTGGGCCATTTAACAGGAAATGTCTCGACACCCTATCGTGTGATTTCTTAGGTTAGGAAAACCCATTTCTTTTTCAAACTGATCTTCTGGGGGACCCAGAAGAGAACACTGAAGCAGCCAGATATTTAAGTGTTAACTTATCTGACAAAAATCACTGTTAATTCATTGTGATGAACTTACGACAATTCAAATTGCCTTCATCTCGCTCTTCTCATGACAACGTAAAGAGTTGTTGTTAAGCTTTTCTTTAGCAAAATAGTAAAGACACAACACAGCAAATCTAAAAGCGCCAGAAAACTCCACTGACCTTCTACTAAGGATGTCAGGAGGGTTACATGTGCAGCCTTCCGTCTGCCGGCTGGAAGATTCAGCCCAATCTTGTCCAACTTCTCCCGCAAGGACCGGCCTCCGTTTTTAGATTTGGCTCTGCGTACCAGAAAGTCAGCTGTGGCTAGTCTCAAAAAAACCACACTTTCAAACCCCAAATTCCTAGACTGCCGTCAAAACGGAAATTCCTCAAAGACTATCTACATTATATGGATCATAATCAAGCGACACCGGGTGTTGTCAATTAATCCCTGTAAAATGCAAAAAATGGTTCTTAGCGTGGCCAACTTTTTTTTTTTTTTTTAAATCACAGGATAATTGCAAGCTGTACTGGAGTCGATTCATTTTCACTTGTTAAAACTGCAGCAGCTCCAAAGAAACTCCCTGGGGAACAAAAGCCCCCGAGCTCCTCTTCCCTCGAGGCAGCAGAGGCCCCCACTTCCTACATGGAATAAGTTCTAACCCAATAACAATTTGTTAGCGCTGTTCTAGCACCTAGTTCCACATCTGGCACTTTCTAAAAGAAAAATGTACTGAAACTCTCTGGGCTGATTAGAATTCGGTGTTAGGTCTCAAAGTTACATAATGTTAAAAATACCTCCTGGTCCTTTCATATATCCACCTTCCACCACCCAGCCACCGTGCCCAGAATGTGTCCCCCCATATACCTTCTGAGAACACCGCCCAGTAATGAGGCATTTAAGCACTCAGGCGGGGACAATCTCCTCTGGACTTCAGCAACTGTCACTTTGTATTTAGATGTGGAGCTCAGGAGGGACAATCTTCCTGGGACCGAGCAGAAGACCTCACTGGGGTTCATCACGGCCCCCACCAGCTCCTTCTGACAAGGGAGGCTCAAGGGGTTCTTGGTCATTGAAATAGGACCTGTGAATGAAGATCAGAAGTGGCAGTGTCGAGAGCTGCCTCCAAGCAAAAGAGACCTTTCCGAACCACTAACCAAAGACGAAAGAGCTCTTTAAACAAATAACATTGCACATCGGGCTACAAATTGCAGGTTTTTAAAAAAGCCTTGTTCTTAAAAAATAATCGAATCTGAAATTCACAAATTAACACCTTGGGAAGTTAATTAGTCAAGAGCCTAAGCGTGGAGGTTTTCATTCTCTAGCCACTGTTAAAAATCTGCTTAATTAGAACATTCGTTTTCAAAAGACTGCTTCCATACTAAATAAGTGGTCTTATTTTTTTTTCCTTCCTCAAGGAACAACCAAAATCACAGGACACACTCAGATCCCTTGCCAAAGCCTTCAGTCCCACAGATCACAGTAAGTTTTTAAGTACAAACAAACCTGTTCTGTTATAAATTTATGGGAAATTCAGTTTATTTTCTGAGTTTTTGTATTTTTTTCAAAACCCATTTTTCCAATTGATTTCAAGCAGTTCAACTTCAAGTAACAGACCGTAGCTACCTGTAATTTAGGCCCACTCCATTTCCCAAAACAGCCAGGCTGGTAATCCCATCAGTAGTAACTTAATTTCACAAGCCACTCACTCACCAAATACAATAATCCAATTTTCCAAATCCCTTCCCCCCCTTATCCTGTGTAAACCCAGCCTCTGACAGACCCCGGGGCCTGGTGCTTTGAGGCCGTGTCTATTTGGCAGGCCAGACTGTTTCAAAACGCTTTCTTGCTGGTCAACTAAGGATCCCTGCCACATGCATATTTGCAATCAATAAAAAAAATCACATCCAGTCATTGGACAATTAAAATTATCACAGAAACAACCACTCACAGCTAAGGGACTGGTGCGTTTTTTCCACATTTAATCGGTGTTAACACACTGGGAGGCTTTCTCTAACGTGGCAAACACCTTCAAATTAAAGGAGTAACATTGGAGACTGAGACAGTGTATCCTTTGTCATGCAGGTGGGGAAGAAACCCCCTCTCCTCTCACTCCTAAGGCCTGCCTTCCCTGAGCTCGGGTCCCTTCCACCACCAGCGTCCCAAGTAAGCCACCAAATGCCCGCAGCCTGGCCTGAGCGAATCACCCCACAGCACCCTAGGAGCCAGGGCGGACCACGTGCGGCCCTACCTTTGCGAATCACGGTCTGATCGTGCAGAAGCAGGTGCTGCTCGTCCACGATCTGGGGGAGAAATGGAAGTTCCCTTTCAGTTCGGGGGAGCCTGGGGGGGCTAGGATAGGGTCTGTGGGCCAAACGGCCGGGCGGGGGGAGCGCGGCCCGCTCACCTGCACTTCGTCCATCGGCTGCCCCACGTCGTGCAGGCCCA